CCAAACACTTACCCACTGGGCTGCTTCTCTGACCCCTACACATGGTCCTCTATGAAGCCTCAAGACAGAGCTGAGATTTATTTTAAGAACAGACAGATGGATGGGACAGCATATTCTCTAGAATTATGTCAACAGGTTTGAAATACTAAAAGCCTCTACTTATAAGCTACAAAATCTCTGGTGAAATAATTGATTCCTATGTCCTCCCCAAACTCGTTGTCTATAAAAAGAGAGCCAGCATTCTGAAATGATCAATCTGAAATGAAACGGCACAGTACAGGTAAAGTACCTAATAGTCTTCAGCCTTGATTATAAGTTCTCAATGAATGTTAGCTGGTATTATTTTCTTAATCAAGTTCTTTTAGGAATGGACCGTGGCTGCTAGCTCTAGTGAGAGAGTTGAGGTTGTGCCTGCCTTGCTATATGTCTGTGCACATGGGCTTGCATATGAGTACATATTCATGCATGTGTATTTCAGGGCCAAACATGCTACAAGGCTATTAAGTACAAATGTAGCAAATATGCATTATGAAATTCTCTTTAGTTCTCCGTTTTTGGGAAGCCATATGTGTGTCTGTATTTGCATGTGCATTGTGTCCGTTCCTTCCTTCATTTATGCATGAGAAGTCAGAGTGGCCTTGCCTTGGAAACACCTAAGTGACATAAGCAGTGGCAGTGATCTTGCCATGAATAATAAAAACACTTATGATCCATTTTATGGTTTTTCCAATGCCGATGTATATTGTTGATGATACTTATTATGTGTGTCACCAGTTGGTCTGAGCAGGAAGATGGTGGCTGAAAATACGATAGTCTAAATCCCAGATATAGGCAAGTCATGTTTGTTTCCAGTTTCAACAACAGAAACAAAAACACCTCAGAAGGAAGGGATGATCTCACTACCTTTTCAAGGAAGGTCATGGTTCACTAGTAAATGCCAGCGAAATAGTAGGACAAGAAAAACTGGTAAGAGACGCCCTGAAACTTTGGATCTTATGCTAGGTGAATACAATTAGAATATAATTTCTTCCAAGTTCATGTTCCTCCTTACCCTCAAACTGGCTTGTCAAGCCAGCACTCACGTTCAGGTCATTGATATACAGAGGCCCAGAAAAACGGAAGACCTACAGCGAAGTGTTGGGGTGATGCCACAGTGTTACAGGAAGCAACCGATTCAAATCGCAGAGAATTTGGGACTAGTGAATTGATTCGGTTGATCTGGGACTGGAGCGAGACTCTGAACACAGGCCAAGGATATTCTACCACTTACTAGCTTAGTGATCCCGAGTAAATCACTGATCCCTGGTTTCCTTATTTGCAAAATGGCTGCTCATCCCAGCTCTTTTCTTTATAACTCATGCAGTTGAGGTATAGTGATATTGATATCAGGAGGGGTGATGACCCATGCGTGTAATCCAGCATTTGGAAGGCAAATACAGGAGGGTCGTGGATTTGAGGACAGTCTGGAGTACCTAGGGAGACTGTGGTTCAAGCAAAGAAATGAAAAGCTAGCCTCATGTAGGGAAAATAAGACTTTCTGCATGGGTTTAAGTCAGGTGACCTTTAGCATCATATAAGTTTAATTTTTTGAAAATTTAGTGAGATCTAATCATATCTACCCTCCCATTTCCTGTCTCCAACTCTCCATGCCCCCCCAACCCCTCTCCCAAATTCATGTCAATGCACTAAGTTCAGTTAGTGCTTCTCATATTGCATGTCTGTTGGGGACATTCCACTGGGAAATGGGAAACCTACCCATAGCCATACTCTCAAAAGATAAGACCCTCCCTCCCCCATCATTCATTGGCGGTAGCTCCTAAGTAAGTCGTGGTGCCTGCAGATCATCTATGGTGGAATTCCGGCTGACTTGACCAAGGTTTAGTGCAACTGAGAGCTATGAATATAACCCAAGTCTTTAGAAAGACAGCAGGTTCTACTGCAGAGCCTATGACTTCCCCAGGTATGGAATTCCTCCTGTGGAGCAGGCCTCAAATACAGTCAGAAAGCAGGGGCTTTGCTGTGCTTCCTCATAACAGCCATGCTGCCATCGTACCAGTGGACACATCTCTCCTGGTAGGTCAGCATCACAATATGCAGAGTCCAGCACGGGGTAAGAGCACCCATGCCTCTCCTCCCCAGCAGCCTGCATAACTCCTCCTGGCACTGTGAAAGCTCGTCAACTCAAGTTTTCTCCTTGGTGAGACTGATTTTTTTTTTTTTTTATGATCTGCAGCTAGTACGTGATGCCTTCAGCAGTAAGGGTATAAACCACCTAGTTATGGAGGATAATTAAGGGCAAAGACACTAGTCTGTATTGTTCTGGGGATGTGGGAGCCTCCCTGACCAATAACTTATGTGCAGGCATCCCATGTCTTGTTCTGTGACTTTCATTTGATAAACCATGTCTTCTACCCATGCAGGACAAAAATACAACAAATGTGTATTTTGAAACTTGTTCACTAACTAGTGTATCTTCATAAGTCTTTTTCATAGATTCTTAGTTTTGATTTAACAATCCAGTACCATTTCCTTTCTCCTGTTCCTTCTTCCCATCCCTGATTAGCCCTTTAACCCTCAGGATCCCCCTTTTCTCTCATTTCACATGTGTTTTACTATCCTTCCACTCATTGTTTAAGTTGGGTTCTGAGTGGTAAGGTTTCTTCATTTGGATTAGCCTTCCCCCTCCTCCCCTAAGTTCCGCCCTGCTTGGCACATCTCCATGCTTAAGCCTTTCTGCGTACAGTGTTCCACTTTGCTACTTCATCTTACATAGAATCTAAATTTCCTGACTTTGGCTAGAACCCTCTGGGGCTTTCAGCACCAAGTCATCTTGGTCTGTAGTTGGTGGTTTCTGTGGTTCTATCAGTTGTCAGACATTTGTTATTTTGTGTCGTGCTTAGAGTTGTGTCTTGGGAGTTCATTTTAGCCTAAAATTAGATAATGGAGGTGAGATGGCTCGGTACATAAAGGCACCTGCCCCCAAGCTGACGGTCTGAGTTCAGTGCTCAGGATCCACATGGTGGAAGGAGAGAACTCACCTCCACACGTAGCTTTCTGACCCTCGTGTGCACACTGTGGCACATGTATAATTCTTCCAGCCCCTGCGATGAAGTAAAATGTAAGAAAAATTAGAAAATGAAAACGTATAAGCTCATAAATTTCATCTTAAGAAACGTATATGGGGCAGGGGGCAGGAGAGGACAACCATGATTGCCTTGTCACTCAGATTTTCTTTGCTAGAATGGGAAATATGTATCTTTTACAATGCCCAGAATTTGCTTTCTTTTCTGTATTGTTGGGAGCTATAGAGCAGTAGTGGTAGTTTTTTTGGTTTTGTGTTGGAAATAGAATCTTACTTAATAGCCTCCATTGACTTGAAACTTAGGATCCTCCTGTCTCAGTCCTCCTGGCTCTGGGATTACAGATGTGTCCCTTCATGTCCAGCTTTGGGACAGCATGTGTTGCACTCAAATGTCAGTCATCTAGCCTTGTTCTTCAGTGAAGCAATATGCAGTGGGTTTCCTCTGGCCCATGCCGAGCCAGGCCACAGCGGGTCCTCTGGCCCATGCCGAGCCAGGCCCTCCTTACAAGGTTGTGTGACTCTGTCAAGTCAGCTGACAGGACACATTGCTAGATTGAATGTGCCTGGGAGCTCTGAGTCTGTTCTGAATATGATTCAGTAACTTGTGACTTTGTGCAAAAGGTGGAGATGGTTAGTGTAGTAGCTGAAGATGTGATTAGACAAGATATTGACTCTGAACTTCTGCCCTCCTCTTTGTAGTCAAGCCTGTTCTTCCTTAGGGAGGTACACACAGAGAAAAACGAAAGCGAGAACTAGGTCATGGGCTTTTGAAAAATATTGATCAGGGAGCCCACAGATGTAGTTCCAACACCTTCCCTTTTGTGTGATGTCATGCTGGGGGTAGGGCTAATGTACCCCTACAGGGACTTCCTTTTCAAGGAAAAGCTTAGAAAAGAAAAAGAGTCTCCAAAGGCAGTACCCAGAAATAATGCCGGCCTTTCTAAATGCCCTTCTTTGAAGTCGTTGATCCTGTTGATTTTCTAGGCCAAGCACTGGCATGAAGGAATGGTGTGAGGTGGTCAGCTATGAGCCATGCCTATCTCAGTTCTTAACCCTCATATACCTCTCCCTGGCTCCTACCACTACTGCTGCATGCCGTCCCGCATGCATGGGTTTTATGCCCACAATGCACATAGGCAGTATGAATGTTCTGTAAACAGTAGCATTTACATTTGTACCAGCTTCAAGTCTGAGGCTCCCTGGTGGGACCCATTGTGTAAATGTCATGGTGTCACCCTGACTGTCCTCTAAGTGAAGTATGGCTCTGACTTTTAAACTTGACTTGCCTCTGTGGAGACAGCCAGGGATCTTGCTAATGCATCCCCTGGGGTGCAAATGGCTATGTTGAACCCCATGGGACTTTTGAAATGGTACCAAGAATAGCAGGAATCCAATTGGCTTTGGGTTATCAGGCCTGAGGTCCAGTGTGTTGAAAGGGTGACATTAGTAAGAGAAAGGCCAGGACACTTTCTCATTTACTTTGCACACTTGGGGGAAGTGTTCCTTGCCTTGCTAGCATCAGAAGTAGACCATTCTTGTTTCTTTAGCAGAGCACATCAGCTTTCATATCAAATCAACAGCAACAAATAGAAAGGGCCACCATCTAAGGAAGTGCATCTAAGGCAACACTGTGCTCCAGTGCTCCGGGGTAGGCTTTTTGCCTTCTGTACCAATGGATCAGTTTCTCATGTCCATGGGCTTCTGACCCAGCAGCTTTTCAAAACACCAAGAAGCATTGCTCTGCTTTCTAGCGCCTCTCTAAGAGACCAGGGCTGCTCTGCCTCTAGCCATGCCCCGGAAAGCACATTTGAGACAGATCGGCTTACTTTGCCTGCATGCCCAGGAAGCCTCTCTTTAAAACCTTAGTGTGGCCTGTGGGAGAAGAACCATATCTAAATATCTTGCTTTTCCTATCCAGGAGAGCGACGGAGACGCCGATGCCAGGTGGCGTTCAGCTACCTACCCCAGAATGACGACGAGCTGGAGCTGAAAGTTGGAGACATCATAGAGGTTGTAGGGGAGGTAAGCAAGTTGACACTGTTGCCTCACGGGGCTGTCAGCCCAACCTGTGCACCCAGTCATGAAGAGTCTTTGCTGCGCAGGTGCAGGCCCATCGGCCTTGGCAATGGATGTTCAAACTCCAAGAGACTCTAGAGACCATCTAGTTGAGTCTCCAAGGCAAATTGGTTTTGGCAGGGGAATTCCTGTAGGACAGATTGGGGTCATATATGGGGCCATCTGAAGCCATTGCCCTTGTAACATAACACTGAGACCCTTTGAAATTTCAGTGCTGTGTCATCAGCGTTCCTGTCTTCTTTAGTTATTGATGGACCCTGAATGGATGGATCCACCTCTAGAGCAGGGGTTCAGTTTTCATTGTGAAGAACAATGGATTCAGAGAGAATGAAAGTGGCATGTGACATTTATTAGACCAAGTATGTGACAGGTATAAGGTTTTTGTTTTGCCTTGTTTTGTTCCTGGAACCCTGACTAGGGGCGGCAAGGGGATGAAGAAAGGATAAACCACAAAGACTCCTAAAAAATCTCAGATTCAGTGGACTGAGCTCTTTAATGGAGATGCATTCACCCCACCCCACCCCCCAAAAACAAAGAAAACCCAAAACTCAGTGTATTTATTATACAGAATTGACCAGAAAAGTGGGTTATTGCATAGAGCTTAACAAGGGGGGGGGGACGGTCATCACATACAGGTAGAGGAGGGGACAGGGATATTTATAGAACCGATCAAGAAGACGGGTTTAGCAAATCTCAGTGGGTGCAGTTTGTAGGGGAGCAGCCATCAGGCCTAAACATGGGACCTGGGGAAGAACGCTACAGTGGACATTTTCTGCACCCACTGTCAGCATTTGCCATCTACCAGAGAAGACTTTGTCATTTCTATGAGCTATAGCTAGGGAAGATTTTTTTTTTTACTTCCATGAGTCTGAGGCATTGGGGTCTTTGATAGGGCCATGTTTATGGCAACACTACACATTCACTCAGGACTTCACCGCTCCCTACAGTACTTTCTTTGTTGTTGTTCTGGTGGGAAACCCTAGGCTTCACATAGGAGCTCTGCTCCTAGCTCTGTGATGAGGTTCTTCACACCAAACCACTTTATCATCCTGATCACTTTATGGTGTAGATGAGCAAAGACCTTCAAGATATTCTGGCAGAGGCAGGGCTAAGGGGCAAGACAGGTCCATTGACTGGGGACACCCTCAGTCTCCTGTGCCATTTTCTCCTGAGTGTTTGATCCTATCTATCCAAAACGAGCCTTATGGTAAAATGTTCCTGGAGATACTGGGCAGGCTGCTTGGGCTCTACTCCCTCAGGCTTTGAGCATCTTGTGCCTTGGAGTTAGGACCTCATTATTCTGGTTCAACATTTGGCTCTCTGTATAAAAAGAATTAAGTTTTCTACTTGCTTGTATTTTCTGGACATCAGTTGACTTTACAGAAGCTCATGGTTTATAGAAAGTAGAGGAGTCTGGAAGTGAGCTGTCACGTGAGCAGAAGTCAGGCTTAAAGGCTCACTGACACCTAACCTGGCTTTAGCGCACCAGGAAGAGATCTGTAAGGTGGGAAGGCTGGCTCCAAGAGAGCGGTGAAAGAACCAAAGTTTGAGAAAGATGAGAGGGATGAGGAACTTGATGAAGATGGCCAACTTAGATTCCAAAGCCTATATAGTGAGCAGTGCAGCAATGAAACGGAGACTTTGGGGTTATCTTTTCCAGAGAACAGATCACTTGCATCTCTGCTAGTCCGTTTGTTTTTATTGCAACCTGAATTTCTTTTGTTTTCTCACTTGTCAAAAAAATATATGTGTCTCTAGGGAAGCAGTTAATGGGGTTCCTAACATGGCCCTGGGAGAATGTGCTTTAACTCCCGTTGTTTCTCAGTTTCGGATGATCTGTGCTAATATGTTACTGATGTCAGGCAGGGCACATAGGAAATATTTATTGAAATTACGTGAGTAAGAAATGGAGACTGAGCAGAACGTCAATTTTGCGATGGGCTTTGTGGGAGCCTAGGCAGTTTGGATGCTCACCTTACTAGACCTGGATGGAGGTGGGTGGTCCTTGGACCTCCCACAGGGCAGGGAACCCTGATTGCTCTTTGGGCTGATGAGGGAGGGGGACTTGATTGGGGGAGGGGGAGGGAAATGGGAGGCGGTGGCGGGGAGGAGGCAGAAATCTTTAATAAATAAATTAATTAATTAAAAAAAGAATGAAGCAAAAAAAAAGATGACTCCTACAGAAGAAATTCTACAGTACAAAATAGTTGTGACCAATAAAATGTTAAATTATTGGTGTATGATTCAAAGTAATTAAACAAAGAGAACAAAAATGAGGAAAAACTACAGTAAGTTATAAAATATAGAAATCACATCTGAAAGCTATATGAAGGTGCCAGGTAAGGTGGTATGTGCTTTAATCCCAGCACTCTAGAGGCAGAAGAAGCAGGATCTTTTGAGTTCAGACCAGCCGAGCTATATAATGAAACCCTACCTCAGAAAACAAACAAATCAAAAATATGAGGAAGCTGTTAGAACAGTGCCCGATGACACTTGGATTTGCCATAAATACGAACCCCATAATGGAGAATAGTATTTTCATTTTTGTTTTTGGTTTGAGACAGGGATTCACTGGGTAGATCCAAGCTGGCTTTGAGCTTGGGTTCCTACGGCCTTAGTCTTCTGAGTGCTGGGTTTCAGGCATGTAGTACCATGTCTGTCCCTGGAGGAAAAAAATAGCTATGTGAAAATCTCCCACCTTGCTGTTTATCAAAGAAGTGTAAATTAAGAGAACAGTTAGTAGGTTTCAGCTGATTAAAATCAAAGAAAAAATCTACTGGTCAGATGATTGGCAATGCCTAGGGTAACTGGTGAGTTTGTTTAGCTGTATGATACTTACATGAAGGACTATCAATAGCTATAAAATATGAATAAAGTATGACTGATTTCATTTCTAAAAATTTATCTGCAGAAAATGGTTAACAAAAATGTACACAGAAAAAATGTGTTGGTTGTAGCATTGCTTGTAATAATGAAAAATAATCAAGAAAAGGAATTAAATTGTTTTATCTAACTAGAAGACATGAAATCATTAAGAGGGTTCACACAGAGCCCTTTAAATATTAATTTATTATGATGTTTTGCATTATAATTATTGGTTATATTCCTCTTAGCTGAGAGTTTTCAATGGCAGAGACCTGGCTTTTATCTGTCTCTGTATTTGTGGTACCTGGAATAGTGCCTGAATTCTAATGTGTACCTTAATAAATGCTTGCTGAATAACTAAGTGAATAAATGGAACTCTAAAACAGCTTGTTGCAAAATAAACGGACAGATTCGAACAGAAAATTGCACACACTAGGATATAATCATGTGAAATAGATCTATATACATGTGATCCAAGATTGAAAATGGTCTTGTCAAAGAAGATGCTTTTTCCTTTACTGGCATAATGATGCTTTAAGAACACAAGAAACATGATCGATACATTTCTAAGAAATACTATATACTTCTGCTTGTCAGCTGCGAGGGAAGGGGGCCACGGGTTGTCCCGAGGAGCAATTGCTACACTTGGGACTAGACTCGCCTAAAGGACACAAGCCATTGACCATCCCCTGCAATTCCAGATTCTGTTTTGCTCATGTCCAGCTGGATTCTAGGCTGCATTTGTAGTTTGCTTCACCAGGAAAAGGGAGAAAGAAAGCCACGGAGTCTGAAGGCTAACCTTTTAATCTATAATTTCAAAATTGTACCAAGATTTCTCTACTGTTTCAGCTGATCTCCCAGGTGTTTTGTCATTAGCAGTGTATAAATATCTGTCCTTGAGAGACGAATGTTGTATATGTGCTTATGGGCAGTCTCTTCTCATCCCCTAGAGCAGCAGGTCTCAGCCTGTGGGTCCCGGCCCCTTTGGGGTCGCATATCAGATATCCTACATATCAGATATTTACATCACGATTCATAACTGTAGCAAAATTACATGATGAGGTAACAACAAAATAATTTTATGCTTGAGGGTCACCACAACATGAGGAATTGTATTAAAGGGTCACAGCATTAGGAAGGTACTAGGCCTGAAAAAAAATATCCCAAGTAAACAAAATCCTTTAAGTCCTAGGGACAGATGAAGGTTAGGAAGCAATTAAAGCTTTGTGATACTGTTGAAACAAGCAATGTCTTAATGAACTACAACATATTGGAGCTGGAGAGGTAACTCAGTGGTCAAAGGTACTGGCTGCTCTTCCTTCCAGAGGACCTGGGTTCAATTTCTAGCATCTGCATGGTGTCTGACAATCATTCATAACTCCCGTCCCAGAGGATCCAGTGTCCTCTTCTGGCCCCCAGGGGCACTAGGCATGGACATAGTACATAGACATACATGCAGACAAAACACCCATATGCATAAATAAATAAAATAAAACTGTGAGAGTACAGCATAATTGTATATATAAATATTATAATTGCCTCTTTATTGATTAATAGTATTAGAGTTGTTCACATAAAAATGCAACCTATTTTTAGTCCCTGATATACAGCTCTTAGGATTTTGACTGTGTATGGTAGTTTTTAGAAAACAATTGAGTCACAGAATTTTAAAAATTATATATGTATCTTAATATATAATACTAACTTAAAATATCACAATCTATGTTCATTTTCAACATTGTTATAATATAGGGTTAGGCCTACATCCAATATTTATTGTATTCGTGTGTGTGTGTGTGTGTGTGTGTGTGTGTGTGTGTGTGTGTATCCACGGCCTTTCCCCTGAGTATGGGTTGCTGGTTTGAGTTCTTTGCTGTGGATCCTGTGTCTCTTTCTGATTTTGCACTTTTTTAAAAAGTGGATCAGTAGCAATGTAAATGAATCCATTACAGTACACTAGCCTTCTGAAGTTCTGAGGCTCGCCACCCCCATTCTTTTCAGGTTAGCAGTTGTTCTTTTTTTTCATCCTTCAAGTCCTTACCTTCCTCCTTTCTTAGCACTGCCTTTCTCTTCACACACCT